GTGGTCCAGACCCGGGTATGGTGTGAGAGGAAGGATCTGAACGCTTTTAGCTGTCCCCATTAGTGTCCCCCATTAGTGTCCCAGAGATCAGGAAATAGTCAATGAAGGAGAAGGCGTAGTGGTGGGCATGCTTCTTTTTAACCAATGTGAAGACTCTTGTTCCCGGATGCAAAATCCGGTATGGTTCGACTAGATTGTAGTCCATCATCAACTTTTGGATGGGAATTGTCTCCCGTGTAAGCTGACCAGCCTAGGACCTAGATATATGATCCATGGCGGGATCTATAGTTGCATTCCAATCACCAGCCAAAATGCAGGCTGACAAAGGAGGATCAAATGGTCGATGTTTATTATAAATGGTGATCTGTCTGAAGAGCCGTTTGATGAGTAGATGTTGGTTACTCTGAACTCTTCCTCCTTCAACTTTACATCCATAAGGCACCATCTGTCGTCTACCGTGTCCGCCCCTTTGCCCAATATCGACCCTGCCATGTATAGGTGGGATGATTTGGGTATAAGGATGGTTGTTCCTTTCGTGCTTGATGTATTATCTGAGGACCATATTTCATCCTTCACTCCACCCAGTTTCCTTGATAAGAGTTTTCAAATTTTGTTGTGTTCTGTTGAGAAGGTGAGGTCAGTTTCTTGCAGCAATATGATATCTGCCAGTTTATTTGTGTGAACGGTAAGTCCTTTGATTATGTCATTCACTTTTTCTTCTTTGTTGACAATATTTTCGAGACCATTAGTATTCCAGCTCCTAATTACTATCCCTTGTGTCTTCCAGTCCACCCTGTCTTCCTTTGCGTTCGCCCCGTTTCAAAAAATCTCCATCAGTGAGGCTACAGGGAAGAGGCAGGGGTACAATCACAGTGGTAGACAATCTAAGAGGGAGCCTGATCGCTTGCATCCATCTCTTTTGGTGTATCACTTCGCGCGTCTTGTTGCACCGTGTTGCCACTGGTTCCCTGACCCGGGACAAGGGCCGGTTGTGCTCCTATTTCCTCGTCCTCATCTTGCCACTCCATATCGCTCTTGGAGCAATCACTTCTGTAATATATGTCCAGATCTATGGCGAACGCGAGTCTAGATCGCTGTCTCCTTTCAGAATCTCAGAAGTCAAGAGTTGTGCCACCGAGACCACCAGCAGTTCCGCTGGGGTCCCGCCAGCACGCTGTATGGGATCGCTTTCACGGTTCTCCATGGCCTCCACATCATCCCACTCTTCAGCTTGGTTTCCTCAAACAGTTTTGCAATCGAGGGGGAGAAGGAGCGAGGGGAGTGTCTCTCTAGGTCCGTGTGATGGTCCTTCTGGTCCTCCTGGGCAGCTTGGGAGGATCTATCCTCTTGACCATCGTCCAGGGCAATTGCTTCACACACGCCGAGTGGGTACCCCTCTGTTACCTTTTCTTGAAGAATACTGGCGACATTCTGTCCTTCCTCAATCCTTGGGATTGTGAAGGACACATCTGTGGCGATCTGCCATTCTCCCTCTTTCTCTACATACCTGGCCGCAATCAGCGGATCGTGATGATTTGGCCGAGGCCACCACGTGTGGTGTCTCCCCATTGGCGATGTGCTGAATGGTAGTGAACTCTGGTGTGTACTTTGCATCAGGGCTGGTCCCCGGTTGGACCGGGGGGCCCTCCCCCACCCGGGAGCCTGCCGGTCGGACCGGCGGTCGACCGGCCTGGCAGACCTCCGGTTGAATCCAGCGCATTAGGCTGGACGGGGGTTACCGGGCAGTGACAGGTGTCCCCACGACTGCCCAGCCCCCACGAGGCCGCGGGCTCCAAAGAAAAAAAAAAAAGGAGCTTTTTGGCCCCCACTTCTAGGAAACAACGAGCGGAGAATCTCCGTCGCTTATCTTTGCAGATCAGCGGCAAACGACCGCCGCGCGCGTTTTCTCAAAAATTGGGGGGCCACCAGGCCCCACATTTTGATTTGGCATAGTGTGGTCCGACAGACCACAGACCAGTTATCATTGGCATGACATACTTGTCCATCCCCAGCCACGAAGGAATTACTATGGAAGAGCAGTGGCTCTCCTGAGGTTATATGCTTCTGCAACATCACTAAGCTCTGGGGAAAGAGTTATGGGTTTGGGTTTCGGCTCTGTCTGAGGTGCAAGCCCAAGAATGGACCTAAGCTATATTTTTCTGTCAATCTATCTAGAATGCACGTGGCTCCACTACATGTATCTGGACAGACTAGCAGGCGAGATACTTTCGGACTGAGGACACTGATGACCCAGCGTATTGAAAACAAAAAAACAACAGAAAACGCTCTGTATTTAAAAACAAAAAAGACAAACAGAAAATGCTCTGCCTGCACGAGCTGAAGGNGAGATACTTTCGGACTGAGGACACTGATGACCCAGCGTATTGAAAACAAAAAAACAACAGAAAACGCTCTGTATTTAAAACAAAAAAGACAAACAAAAAACGCTCTGCCTGCACGAGCTGAAACCTGCACCCATAACTTTTCGGCCGTCGAGCTATACTCTGGAAAAGGTATAAGTTTTGGCAAAGATCCACTTCTATTGCATCTCATTCAGGCTGCAGGACTCCGACAGCCGTTGGCATAGTCCAGAGTGCCTTCTGCTACTGAATTGAAGTCCGTGGGCCATGGGGGGTCGGATAAGTAATATTGCAATCGACCCCTCCCCCTGAAAGTGACACCTCTGTGAATATCCCAATAATATCCCCACCTACCCCTGGGGCACCCCCCCAAAAAAATAGGACCTTAAAAATTTTATTACGGATTTCGACAGCTCTTGAAGAGCGCAGTCAGAATCCGCCAAGAAAAAAAAAAAAAAAAAGAGAATTAGGCTTTATTTTTGGAAAACCGGTTTCCCGGTTCACCCCCCCCGGGGCTGGTCCAGCTCCGGTTCAACCGGGCAAGCTGAACCGGCCGGTTGCCGGCCCAGCCCTGCTTTGCATTCCATTTTATTATTTTTCCTGTTTGGGTCATCACCACTGGCACTTCTTTTTTCAGTAGTGAGCGTGCTGATTCGTCTTCTGCCTCTGTTTGATCTGAATTTGGTTCCTTCTTTTTCTGATTTTTCCCGGTCTTCCATTTTTTTTCGAGTGGAGATCTTGAAAGTGATCTTTGGTGTTGAGGACTGTCTTGTCCTTGTCTGCTAATCCTTGTTCTCTTGCCCTCTTTTTTTCGGCATATCTGAAGGCAGTGTATTCAGAGAATTCCTCTGCCTTCTCTTTCTTCAGCGTGTCGTACTGTTTTTTTGACTTCTCAATGCCAGCGATTGTCACCATAGCGCAATCTAAGTGAAGCGTTTTTTTTAATCAGACTTACTGCTGAACCACCGGTACTTTTCCCAGCCATTTTTCTACAAAGCGGCCATGCTTGGTTCACTACAAACTGGATTTGGCAGGATGTACCAGCCTGCCGGTTCGCTACAAAAACATCCAGGCACAATGCATCACATGCATGGATGATTTGTTCTGCAAACAGGCAGAGGTTCTTGCCCCCATTACATCCCGCCAGACACAGTGCGAGCACTGCCAGTAGACGCGGCGTGAACACTGCCACGTCATACAAAAATGACTGGGAAAAGTACTGGTGGTTTAATGATGATGACCATTGAGCTATAACAGATTTCGAGATCTCCTCCCTCCCTTTTTTCTCCCTCCTCATTCTCATCCGGCAAACCCAAGTACTACTGTCTGTGCAAGGGCTGCATATGCTACAGAATGCAGCCCCCCTGTCCTCAACTTGCCTGTCCATTTGTCATCATCATTTATGTGCCCACACGTTCCCCCCCCCCCCCTGTCTCCCTCCAAACCACAAATCAATTATGGCTTCATCTCTGGCCTCTTTCCGTCCTCTCCACCACCTGAGTGTTTCTTCGATCGTCTCTGTCACCATTATTGTTGAGTCTGTGTTGACTGAAGATCACATTCAAAGCATTCAAAGTTATTCTCTTCCTCTCTTCGATTGTCCCTGGCACAATCAATTATGGCTTCAGCTCTGGCCTCTTTTCCTCCTCTCCACCGCCTGAGTACCATCTCTTCCTACTCTGTCAAAGTCATTCTCCTCTTTTCTTGCACGTGTTGATCCTGAAGATCACATTGCATGGAGCTCTCTGAGAGAGTTGAGGGGGACTGGAGAAGGGAAGGTGGGTAAGATTACTGGGGAATGCGAAAGATATATGTTCGGATTCTTCGGAAACATGAGGGACAACCATAGTGATGGAACAACTGAGAGAAGACAGGGTAAAGAAAAGCAGCATCATTTGCAAGATAGATGGGTTCAAACAGAGAGGCAGGGATGTGAGAAATGATGTTCAGTACAGGGAATGAGTCTTCAACAACAATGCAGACCAGAGAAGATGGATTAAGACCACACAACCAATTGAGGTTTAGCCCCTGTAGTCCTGCACCCATGTCTTTTCCTGCTGTCTTCCATTTATACGATATGGCTTCATCTTGTCATCCATCCTTCCTGCATGTAATACTTTGGTTCTTCATTTCTTTTTTCATTTCTTTTTTCATTCCTTTTTTCATTTCTTTTTCTCCTTTTTCTTAAGGGTTAGCTGGCCCCTGATCTATCCAACAGGAGTTGAACTGTTGCTCTTTCCATCAACAGTTGGGGCCTCGCCACACAGCTCTCGAAATGTGAAAAAGACAAAAATGTGGCAGGTGCATCTGCCCATGTTCTAGCGGTAAGTTCATTCTCATTTTGCACATTTCGAGAGTGGTGTGGTGATGCCCTTACATGTGTGTAACATTCCGCCACCGTGCAGGTACACATGTCATACTTCTTCTCATCTCTTCTTCTTCTTCTTCTTTTTCTTCTTTTTCTTTTTCTTTCTTTTTCTTTTTCTTTCTTTTTTTCTTTTTTTCTTTTTTTCATTTTTCCTTTTTTTTCTGGGGGAGGGGGGGGGGGGGGGGGGGGGGGGGGGGGGGGGGGGGTTGTTTGTTTGTTCTCATCTCTTCAGAATGTTTTTGTGATTATGGTGCATGATCGGTTGGCTACAGCCCCACGGTATAATTGAAATGCCAAATCCTCCGCCGGAGTACTTCCTGTTTGAACCCTTTGTGGAGACAGATCAGATTTCTGCACGAAGCAAATCCGTATGGATGATGGCTGGCGGGGAACCTCAAGCGGTTGACGATGGGCTAAGCTGGGCGGGAAGAAGTCGATGGGTGGAGATCACTGTAGGAGTCCTTGGAAGTAAGAACGAGATGCGTGCCCTCACTCCCAGCATCACAGTCAGAGAAAGCGGAGACATCCTTTCTCTAGAGGAGAAGTTTCAAGGTGCCAATACCATCATTCCCGTCTTACCTCCACATTTTGTTTCCTTTAAGAATATATAATAATAAATAATTAGGGGCTTCTCCCTTTTGAAAGGACAAGTTATTGCCTGGGGGGCAACTGCCTGGACGGATGTACAGAGGTGGAGCACGTTCATGCATAACACAGATAGTGCTCTCTCCCTTTTCTCCCACATGTTTGTCTCGATCCTTGATCAAAGCCTCAGGCCATAGAGCCACCCATCAGGAAACTGTTAAGTACACTGCGAGAACAGGGATTTTTGAAAGGAGACTTTACACGGAGAATGTGGATGTAAATAATACTAAAATCTTTGGCTTGATGATGGGTTCTCGATATGAAGATTAGGCAGAAGGGGAGGGCAAGAGGGGAAGCATACCGACAGCCAGACACACACACGCACACACTCACACACGCACACACACACACACACACACACACACACACACACACACACACACAGAGAGAGAGANCACACACGCACACACACACACACACACACACACACACACACACACACACACACAGAGAGAGAGAGAGAGAGAGAGAGAGAGAGAGAGAGAGATGACACTTGATTGCGACTCCACAGAAAATCGGAATTGAACAATCACACCAAGAATCTCAACTACTTCCCCCGAATAGAAAGCATGGTCATTATCGCTTTGTCTAGACTGATATTTGCCCCGAATACAGGCATAATGACCGTATGTTCTATTTGGGAGAAGACGGTAGGGGAAAGGGTTGAGGTTGCTATTTATAGCACAAACGAACTGTGCCACTTTGTGCCATGGCAAGTCTAACACTCGACCTGGAAAATTGGAAATACAATTCGCGAGCACTGGAATATTTTGCAAGGAATTCCTATTTCTAGCCCCTTTTCAAAATGAGAGGTCGTTTTCCAGCCCCCTTTGACAGAGAAAGGGCCTTTCTATACCCTTTGATGAAGAACGGACGTTTTAGACCCATCTCATCGTCACATGCCCTCAGGGCAAGTCTGTTTCCTTAAACCACTAGTACCTTTGCCGCTTCAGAAATGAGGGAAAACACCAGTACTGGAAGAATACGGAGGCCAGGCCCGACGACGGCTGCCATTGATAAATCTAATTGGCGGCCGTCATTTCGTTTCGGCCTCCTGAAAGGCCTCCTGACAGGTCGGAGGCCCGCTATTTTCCGAACCGACAAAGGTACTAGTGGTTATAAAAAAAAGAAAAAGAGAAAGGAGTTTTAGCGTATAGTACTGTATAGTATGTTGTTCAGCTCGCCCACCAGTCTGTACAATTGGTACCTGCTTGGTAGCTTGCAATCAGACTCGCTTCTTCTCACATCGCATGCATGCAAACATATTGTGAGACACACTGGTGCTGTGCGCCCACACAAAGCTCAGAGATAATCAAGCCGAAAACACAGTTCGGATACAAGCTCACTTCCAACTGGCTATGGCGCCTGAGCGCCCACACCTCCTCTGTCCAACACTGTGTTCACCCAACTGTTCAGACACACTCAACTCCGGATCTCCCTGGATATCCCACGCATGCACACTCTGTTACACACACACACACACACACGCTGAACTCTGCCTCTAAGCTACAGCGGCAATGGCCGCCTAAACCCCACTGGCTATGGATACTCTTATCTCCCTTCAGCCCACTTCGACCGCGGGCATCTGCAGATCACCTCGCAGAAGACGCTAGGGCAGCGCTTCCGCATGGCTCACGCAGGAATGCATGAATGTCTGGACGCTGCCTCTTGATTTATACTTCTGTAAGTCACTGGTCTGCCCCTTTCCACCGGGCCCATGGTGCACACAGTCCCTCATGGTACTTGCTGACTGTACAAAGTGAGACTGGGACTGGTACCGCTGACTAAGCGAAGTTGGACTCCCCACTTGCCCACTTGCCTCTGGTCTGCTGTGAGTAACGTGAGAAAAACTCGAAAGGCCACCTCTGGACCTTCCGGAAGTCTGTGGACTTGGCCTTTCGGGACTGTAGCAGCTACGACCTTGACCTTTCAGGACTGTAGCAGCTACAACCTTGACCTTTCAGGACTGTAGCAGCTACAACCTTGACCTTTCAGGACTGTAGCAGCTACGACCTTGACCTTTCAGAATTGCTACAGCTACGACCTCCACACAACTATGACCCCTTGTCGACAGACCTACAGATCGAACCCCTACAGCCACACAGACCTACGACAAGCAACAGTCAACTACCAAAACACAGGTCACGGGTTCAAACACACAGGGTCGACTTGATACTGTACATGGGTGTGGTAAGGTCTAGGGATCGAGCCCTGGGATCTGCATCTGCTGCTGCGAAGGTGAAAACCGTTTCAGCTTAGTGCATCTTCATCTTTGACTCCTCGTCGTTTTCCTGTGCAGGTGGAACAGGCATTAATCTGACACCACCTCCAGCAAGCATCGTCAGGTAACGAACTTTCCATTGTTTCCAACATCTTCATCTGTACTGTTGGTACTAATTCCTTTTCACCTTTTTGAGGCTTTTTCTTATGTTATTTCTTCCTCCCCCCCCCCCC